TAAAAAGAATGAATTCCCTGCAAAATATAGATGAAATAAATGTTCGAACCTTCTTGATTTCGTCATGCGATCTTTGAACATTCTCATAATTTTTATAGTCTATGAGTCTAAAATTACGAATGAATAACGACTTATTAATTCACTGGTGAAAGTTTTATATAAAAAAAAAAAAATGTATACACAACCGTAATTCACGATATCGCTGACGAGTAACATTAAAGGAATCCCACGTAATTCCTTGCTTTTGTTCATAAAATACATGATGTGATTAAATTGCACTCAACAACTATTAAACAATGAATAGTTCAAATCGTAGAGCTATTTTACCACATCCATCCCATTTTCTGCGTCTCGTGAAGTTACTTCACGGAGCTAATTTAAAATAAAATTAAACATTTTAATAAAAATTCAATCACATAAACAAAACATATATAATTCAAATGCCAACCCAAAACCAAGAAGGCTTTCGTTCAGAAGGACCATTTTCTGAACCTAACTCAAAAGAAAAAAAGTTTAGATTTATCAAGAAAGGAGTTGTTGTTCTTTTTTCTATTAATAACTTACAGGGCCATTCGACATCCAACACCTCCATGTATTCGCCCATATTATTGTCATCAACGTCTAGAGAATCTGACATTTTGATATGTCTTATTGTTGAGGCTCCCAGTAAAGTTTCTTTGTTAGATCGTTGCCAAAGGCTTATGATTTTTGAATCTAGTTTGGAAAATCAATGAAAGCGTGTAACCAACTTTATAATCCAAAAGTATTTTTTTTTTTAAATATATTTAAATGTTAAAAAAACGTCAAAAGTACTGGAGCTATAATTATTCAACTTGCCTACAGAATAGATCATTATAACTGCAGAAATCGTACTATTATTGGTCATGTGAATTATTTCACTGAATTCAAGAGTTTTTGCTGACACAAATTAGTATTTGAATACGTACTAATCGTAACGTAATTGTTTATACGTATCTGATCAGTGATGCTACGTATATAAATATGATTTATTTTTTTTTATTAAACGTACCCGTAGAAAAGTTTTTAGCATTTTAAATAATAGAATTGGCAATATATCTTTATACTTGTTGAAAATTTTCAAAACTTGAAAAATTTATTTTATTTGGATTTATTATTATTAATTCTAAGTTTTACCTGCTCATATTAGCAGTTAGGGTTAGAGGTCTCGTGTAACATATATATTTTATTAGCTATGGTCATGTGACTAATGAAAAATAATGAAAGTTAAAATACTGTGTTCCGTTAGCAATCATTATCATTCGTCCGTTTTAGAACTTTTAACGGAATATTACGATTGTTTCTGTCGAATCTTTAATTACATTTATTCAAATATTTGAATTTGATTTTCGTGTAATAAAAAAAAATAAAATGGGTAAAAAAAAGAGTAAGAGACAAGTCCGACCTTGGTGCTGGTATGTCTTAATAAAGATTACGTCATTATATTTATAAAAAAATAAGAAATAAAAAAAAAGCATTAACTCACTAATTTTAGGTACTGTGAGCGAGATTTTGAAGATGAAAAAGTATTAATCCAACACCAAAAAGCGAAACATTTTAAATGTCCTCATTGTAATAAAAAACTTAACACAGCTGGCGGAATGGTGGTTCATGTCGCACAGGTGCATAAAGAAACTATAGACACGTAAGGAATGAATAATGGGCTTTTTTGAATTATTATTAATTGAATTTACATAATTCATGAAATTGGTTATATTTATTTTATAAGAAAAAGCATAATTAACGTTATTTTTAATATTCTTTAATTTTAGAGTCCCTAATGCAATGAAAGGTCGGGAATCCACCGATGTGGAAATTTTCGGGATGGAAGGAATTCCACATTCAGATATGCTAGCGCACGTGCAAGCGTTAGAAAGTGGGCAACCTTCAAAGAAAATTAGGGCTGAAGACCCCGTTGACATTTCAAGTGATGAACTTAAAAAGCAACTTGCGCAACATCAGGCTATGATGCAAGGCAATCCTCAAGGTGCTTATACTTTTTCACCTGGCTATACTATTCCTCAACAACAAAGCTTGTCACCGTTAATGCCCACCCAATACAGTTCATTTTATCAAAGGCAAGCACCATTCCAACAACCTGGTGGCATGTTCCGACCAAAGTAAATATTAAAATATTATATTGTTTATTTTATTATATATTTTACAAGCTAATGAAAATTTTATCATCTGTTTTAGTACATTAACAGGACAAGCTCCTCCTTCTGTTCCTGGCCAACCATGGCGTCCTACACCTACCACTGGTACATCTGCTCCATTATTTGGAACCGCACAGCCACTTTTTGGCGCTCCGCCTTCTAACAGTCAATCACCGATATTTCCTCGTCCCCCCATCTCACCTACATCTTCATTGTATCCTCAAACTTCGTTAATTCCTACATCTGGTCAGCAATATTCGCCTTATAACAATGGTCAATCAGCAAATTCTTTATCACAATATCAGCAAACATTGCCCAATCAAGGGTCTACTTTGGGTGAAGGCGGAGTTCAGGTTGATGGTATGGGTGATCAATCTATTACACACCAAAAATCACTACCAAAAGTAGCATTGGTTTATAGTGATAACGATGTTTCAATGGTATACATGTGTTTTATTTTGATTTAATATATATTTGTATTTATAACGTCATAATTAATTCTAAATTTCTTTATTTTATTTATTGTATTATAGGAAGAAAAAAGAGCAGAACTTGAAAAGTATCGGTATAATGAGGATAATCACAGACAGCAGGTGCATGCTCACGAACAATCTATCCAATCTCGTGTTACAAATCTCAAAGGGAGGGTTGTGTGATAGGATTGTAGTGTGTTTTTTTTTTTTTTTAGACAAGGTCTTACACAATTTATATATGTCAGCCTTCATTTGTTTTAGATTGACTTCATGTGTTGGGGCAGGATTATCTGGTAAGGAAATAAAATCCGGTAAGCGCAGACAGCAAATGAAATTGTCGCTTATTGTGATATTTTAAATCGTTCGTATTTCTTTGTTACATGATTCCCAATTGTTTCATGAGCTGGAGATACTTTATTTTTTTTATAATTGTGACCTTACTCTATTGGATTAGCTAATTTTTATTGAGTGTATTCTATAACCTTCATCACGATTCTTGGCTTTCTCTCCGACAGTTTTTTCCCTTGGTTTGGGGTTTGTATAATTCTCTATTGCCCTTGTTTTTTGCATATAACTATTAGAATGTTACTTCAGATAAAAAAAAAAAAAAATATTATTGTATTATACAACAAAAAAAAAATAATAATATTGTCAGGTTGGTTATATCAAGGTAGGCAAATTTTATTGAATGGGTGGGTGTTTTTCATGTATGTTAGTATGAAGAAGAAGAAAAAAAAAAAAAACAAATAAATTGTTCGAAAAATAATTGGTGGTTATTTTAACGGGACCTAAAATATATAAATTGATTTGTAAAATGAATTTGGTTCAGTTAAAATTGTTACTGCCTATAAATTTTTGATAATATAATTATCTTATTGTAAATATTAGAAATTAATTGTGTTTGCAATGTTGGGTTTAGACATTGGACTTGGATTTTGAACTATTTTTTGTTTAATTTAATTTAATTAATCAGACTAAAAAGTATTAGCGTTAGATATTAAATATTAGATTATACAAACTTAATAAATCGGTTTTCATAACAAAATTTTCAAAAGTGACCCGGCAACCCAGCCGATTTACTTATTTGCGCTGGTGATACAATCTCAAAAAAGGAAAAAACATTATTTTTGTTAGTTTTTTACTAATAAAACGTTGAATTTAGAACTTTAGGTTTAGGGCGAGACCTAGGATTTTAGCAAAGTGTATATGTGCCAAATTTAACAAGGAATTTTTTTAATTAGTACGCCAAAGATGGTTTCTTAGTCAAAATTTAAAGTTACGGGCGATTTATTGAAAAGTCTTCGATGTTATGTTACATAAACGTTACACCTAATCTTAAGATCTACATATGAAAATTTCCTTTTTGGGTTTGTATCACCGGCGCAAATAAGTATACGCTTTAGTGATAAGTAATTTCACCGAAAATATAAAACTGGCTAAACCCTAACCCTAAATCGGGCCAAAATGTCGGTGAAATGACACAGTCGGTAAAATAAGTGTTGATGAAATAAGTGAAATAAGTGCCACCCAGTATTTATGAATAAGTGTTTATGTTCATGACTTTAATTATACTGATTAACTATCTTAATACTCGCACACTATTCGAAGAGTATTAGGTAATTAATCATAAATAAGTATTTAGAGATAAATAGACTATTTGAGGTATTAGCGTAAAGAAGTATCTAGAGATAAGTATTTATGAATAAGTATTTATGTTCATAATGCTAACGAAACTGATTAACGTTAATAAATCATCTTTATACTCATCCACCATTTGAAAGGTATTAGGTAACTAATTGTAAATAAGTATTTAGTGATAAGTATTTATGAATAAGTGTAGTGATTTGAACCGGTTTGGCTATAATCGGTTAACTGACCCGAATTGAATAAATTTTGGGTAACCGGTTGAGTAAATTTTTAATCGGTTGACCCGTACAACCGGTTGAGTATCGGTAATCGGTTGACAGGATGTAAATGACATCAAGAAGGAGCAA